AATGAATGGAAACCCAAAATCTCTGTAAATGTTTATGAAAATTAATAAAATATAGAAAAAAAAAAAAGAAAAACTCTCTCAACACTTGCTCCTCAGAGACACACACCTGCCCTCCTCTCAGACCTGCTGTATTTTCCTGCAGGATTTTCCGGATTCTCTGCCATCAATCTATACCTTTCTTGTCCTCTAATAAATCTGCATCTTTTCTTCTGCAAAGCTCTCTGATCTTCTAGTCATTATTAAGACCCGACATTCCACAACAATGAAATCATTATAAAGAGGGAATTTACACTTATGACAGAAAGATAACAACATCATGGTTTTACAAGGGCATGGGACCAGTCAACAATTACTTTAAAGTGAAGATCAAAGTATAAGGATGGACCAGAATGAACATACTGAGGATGCAACACATTTGTGAAGCAAACCAAGGGTATATAAGTAAGACTTATAGCAATTACGATGGGTGAATTTTCATTTTCAAAGGTAACATGTAAGTACAGACAAGTTTCTAAAAAAACAAAATCTTTTTTAAGATCATGGGGAAAAAAACAAGTATCAGGAAGAAAGATTAAGAAATTGAAAAAAAATGGACATCTAACAAAGTGCATCTGAAGCTCATGGAACTTTCAAGCATAATAAATTTAAAAATTGTATTTATTTTAAAAATAAAAATAAAACAGGGCTGTAAGAAATTCACCTAGCAATCTCCTGCTGTTTTAATTTCGAGCATTTTAGGTTTTATACATTGTCTTGCTTTTAATAGCAACACGATAATGCCCAAAATAAGCAGTGAGAATGGAGTCAGAAGGAATTTGAAGAAACATGCCAAAACTACACACTGAATCAACCAAGGTGGTGAAAGACTGTAGGTAACACTTAACAAACAAAAACTCCTGCCTCAAACCCAGTGGATCTCCATTCTCTATGGCCTTTTTCCTAATTGGCATTTTCTTTAAAATGTCCAGTCGCTAAAGTAACACTTTTTTAATAGGCAATACAACAAATGTTTCCTAACGTAAGGGAGACAGAAATAAGACATGGCATCTGAGGAAGGCTTGATGCATACCTACACTTCAAATCTTTTAAAACCCAAATTGATTCTCTAATAACTCGTTGTTGTGTGCTGTCGAGTCGGAAATGACCCATAGCTGACCATCTAGCGGGTTTTCAGAGGCAGTAAATCGTACAGGACACTGCCCATCCTTCTCCCGGTGGATTCGAACCTAGTGCCTTTAAGACTGAAGAGCAGCTTACTAACACAGTCTTCAAGAAACGCATTTTCAGATAAATACTCCCCAGTGTGCCATCCCTCTCACCTGAGGGTCATAGAGCACCACAGAGGAGGAGGTGCCGAAGGCCAGAAGTCCTCCGAGGCCAGGGCTCCAGCTCAGAGCTCCCCGCACCCGGTTCGGACAGCAAAACACGTGAGAAGTCTCTAGCATCGGAGCCACCATGTCGTCTGCTGGTCAGCGACCGAGCCACGGGGGGGCACTTCCGCCTTCGAAGCGGAACTACTCGCCAGGCCGCCTCCCACGCTGGCGTCCTCCAGACGGACCGGTTTTCCAGGGCGGCCGGGGCGGGGCAGGTTGCAGGAGACCCCGCCCCTTGGCGGCCCCGCCCCCTGCAACGACTCCAACTCCGCTACAGTGAGGATGCTGCTACCAGCTCCCGTCTCCTCGACTGAGGCCCAACCCGCCAGCCTCGCTTCTAGAATAGAAGCGAAGACTCAACCTGAGTAGCTCGGGACTCTCCAGGGAGACCTGAGACTATCGTACCAAGGCAGCGACAGAAAACACCCCTGCCATCCCTCTCCAGCGGGCTCCCACAGCGGACGAGGCCGGTTCTCGGGTCCTTTAATGGACAAAGGGCCCCCAACAAGTATCATCGTTGACTGAGCTCGAGTCTTGTCAATTCCTCCAACCCCCTAAAGCCCGCCGGCGCCGGCGAACACACGGAGCGGCGGATCCATCTGCAGGGATCGGGGCGCCGCGGCCGCACTGCGCATGCCCCGCAATCATGGCAGGAGGAGGCGGTGATTCCCGGCGGCGCGCGGCGCGGGGTAATTAGCGATTGTCCTCGTGCTCCGGGTAGGCGAGGGCGCGCGGCTGCCCAGTGGTTCGGTGCCGGCACCTCCGGACCGGGCAGCGGCCGGGGGCGGGCGGCTGCGGCTTCTCGGCTTCTCCGCCGCTGGGAGAGACTTCTTCGGAGAGAGAAGCAGCGCGGGGCCAGCGCCGCGCCCACCAGACTGAAGACTGAGCTGGACCTTCGCGCCGGCCAATCGGGCCACGGAGAGGTGAGTCCTGCGAGCCGGCTCGGGCTGCAGGGGAGGAGACGAGCCGCGCAGAGGGGCCCCGAGGGCCGGGCGGGTGCAGGGGACCAGCGGGAGCCTGTTTAGGGCGCTCGCCGGGCTTGGGAAGCCAGATGCCCTTGTCTGGGCTGCGGGGATGGGCTCCAGCATCCACGGCGACTTTCAGAGGAGAAAGTTTGTACTTAGCATCTCATGTTCGAATAAGGCACTGACGTGTTTAAAGGGGGGAAAGCCTGCAGAAGTAAAGTTTTGTGCCTCCTTCTCCCTTTCGTTTTCACTCTTCCCTTCGTTTGTTTCTCGAGGGCGGCTGCCCTTTCTTTTTTCCTGCAGCACGCGCCGATTTGCAGGGCCCGGGAGGAGCGCATCCTCTCCAGAGAGAGAGAGGGGTTGCGAGCTGCACCCCTCCGTCCATCGGGGCTGTCCCCACCCACCACACTCCTTGACCCTCCAAGTGAGAGAGATGGCTTCGTGATTTTCCTTTGTCCATTAAGTGAATCCCCGTGATTTCAAGCTGCTACGAGTGTTCTTCAGGGGTGTTACCACCCATTTTCTAATGCTGCCGGTATGATAAGCAGAAGTTAACGAAGCACATGACAGTTCTTGGAACACTAGTCTTAAATCCTAAGGTGTGGCTTTCTAGTGCACCCTGCAAATGATTCTTGCCAGATTATCACAAGGTGATGAGTGTGAAAGACCCATCCAGGAAGAACAATTGAACATGGTAGAGCCAGATTTCCCTGATCTCTCGCTCTCATTGCTCTCATTCCCCCGAGCTCCATCTCTGCTCTTTTACTGAAGCAGATGGGTTTGGCCACTACAGCCATCCATCATTGGTCCTGATCTGTCAACACACATATTCGCACCTTTCTGATTTTGAAAACCCACCTTAGTATAAATTGTGTATACTGCACTGAAACAGATGAGGGAGTGAATAATTTAAAAGCGATGTATGATAGGGTCTTACGGTTATCACAAGAGTCCACAATTAAGGTTGCATAGTGGAATGTAAAAAAAAAACCCACCTCAATTCCTGACTCCTATTTGGGACACATAGTTATGTGCCCTTGCATCTGACCCAACTCACAGCAGGTGAAACCCTTCAAGTTTTCAGTCGATTGCCCATCTCTTTGGGACCTAGGCCATTGGTTCCAAACACTTGGAAGAGTGATAGTCTCCGATAACATTTTCACTGATCTGTAGCAAAGTAAGAACAGTATCTTGAATTGCAGGAAGTCATAATCAACTTCATTACACAGCGACTACAGGAAAGGGCTTTATCACAGCAAAGTGTGAAGAGAGGCCATGATGGGTCATGGTTTCATTTTGGTGGCACCCAACAGCTATGTCCTTTTGATCATACAGTCATTTAAATGAATGAGGTTGATAAAAATGTGCTGACATGGAAATACGACTGACTGTTTAGTGGTGACAAAAGACACTGTTGCTGTGTTTTTTAAAGTATACATGTAGCTGAGTGTACATAAAAATTACCGGACTGATATGCAAGAAACCTGCAAAATTGGGGGCCTTAGACAGTTAGGATTAAGCAAAATGGACCTAAAAATGGTTTGCTTGAAAAGGTGAGTTAAACAAATGTCAATGTCAATTAGCCTGAAATTCTGATTGTCATTTTTGATAAAAGAAAAGGGACTTTTCATGAAATCGAGGTGGGTTTTAGGTGCTGATGGGTCAGTTTCAATTCACAGCAGCCCTGTGAACAAGAGATCAGAACGTTGCCCTGTCCTGTGCCATTCTCACAGTCTCCACCTTGCTCAGGTGCACTGTCACAGTCATTGTACCTGTCCATCTTACTGAGGGTCTTCCTCTCTTTTTCTCACTCTCCCTTTCCCAGCATGATGGTTTCATGAGAATTTTGCTTTGTTTTTAAATTCTTATTCTCAATACAATAACAGACTACCCGTACCAAGAGTAGGCTGCCTGGATCTCTTCTGTCTCATAATTCCTACTGCTTTTATGGCACTGAATTCAGTCTCTTCATATTTACCTATTGTTTCCTATGTTGTAGCAATGCAAAGATAGAGTCATGGACTGTAGTTCTCTTTCCTTCATAGTAGCAAGTATTGGGCTCATAATAAATGGTGGTCTTGATAATGTAATTAGAAATCGATTCCAGCAGTCTTCTTATTAAAAATTGTTTTCTAAGTAAAAGCATTGCTTTTTATTCTGTCTTCTAGGAAGGTGCAATGGCGGAGAGGAGTTTATCTGTGATCTTGACCTTCACTCTGCTGACCTATATCACAAGTCCCTCAGTTGCTTTCACTCAGACCACTGAGAGAGTTGTTTCAAATTGGGAATCGGGCATCAATGTTGACTTGGCAGTTACAACACAGCGACACCATCTGCAGCAGCTTTTCCACCGCTATGGAGAAAACAATTCCTTGTCAGTTGAAGGGTTCAGAAAATTGCTTCAGAATATAGGCATTGATAAGATGAAAAGAATCCATATAAACCATGACCATGACCATGACCATCACTCTGACCACGACCATCACACTGACCACGACCATCACGCTCACCATAATCATGCTTCTTCAGGTAAAAGTAATCGGAAGGGTCTTTGCCCAGACCACGATTCCAATAATTCAGGTAAAGATTCCAGAAGTGGCCAAGGGAAAGGATCTCACAGACCAGAAAACACCAGTAGTAGAAGAAATGTTTTCATCAAGGATGGTGTTGGTGCCAGTGAAGTGACCTCAACTGTGTATAACGCTGTCTCTGAAGGAACTCACTTTCTAGAGACTATAGAGACTCCAAAACCTGGAAAAGTTAAAGACATAAGTGGTTCCACCCCGCCCAGCATCACAGAAAAGAGTCGCTTGAGCCGTCTTGCTAGTAGAAAGACTAATGAATCTGTGAGTGAACTTAGAAAAGATTCTGCACATTCCAGAAATGCAAATGAGAATACTCAAGAGGTAAGATGAATGTGTTCATTATTTTAATTAATAGACATGCTTGTCTGTTCTGTCATTGTCAACCCGTTCTAGAGTCGTAAGGAGTTTAAAATAAATGTTACAATTCTAAAGTAATTGACACAGGAATTTCTGCCATCTCAGAATGGCACTTACCTCTATGTTCATCTACTGTTAACAAACGTTCCTAATGGGAAAATGCTTCTTTATTAAGAATAGTGTTGTGTAAATTTAAAAAAAAGAAAAAGCCACGAGAGTTCATTCTATTTAAGAAGAGCAGATGTCAAAGTTATTTTTGTCAAAATTGTTAAAAGATGACTTAAGGAAGCTCTTGTGGCATAGTCCATGTGAAGTTGCATTGTAAACCCAAAGGTGAATGTTATCAGTTGAAAAAACAGCAAATACGGGGTTGGAAAAGCAGGAGTTAGAATCCATGCTAGAGAGGAAAATCAAGGTAGATAGAAAGGAAAAAAGATGGATGAGGACTAGTGCTCCCTCTTTGGCGTAGACATCACAGTGCCTTCCTGGAGTTGAAGCAGCTGCAGAGAACTCTGGGATGCACACCTTAAAACACTGGGCAGTGTGGTTCCGGCTTCTTGTAGCTTTTCCAGAGTAGGCTTCCACTCTTCCCCCAGTTTGCCTTTGGCAGAGATGTCAAAAGTGAGGATTAAGTTGGGGACACTTTTATAAGTGAAGCTAAATTCTTCATTACCAGCCTGCATCTGAATAATTGTACTAAGAGTCATACTGTCAACACCAATAATAAAGTTATGAATTGAATATTAATGGCAGAGAACTGCGGGAGTTAGAGTAGCTTTACAGAAGATGAGAAGCTACAGGTTTGGTCGTCCCCCCCCCCCCCCCCCCCCCCCCCGCAAAGATGGAGGCTGGAAGATCAGTTGGTTAGAGGAGATTCCCTTCATCTAAGCTTACCATCTCATTAAATTGTTGAAATAATTGCCTGCCAGTACAGGTTTGTTTTATTACCTAGCTACCTAGCGTTGCTCACTGTAAGAGTAATATGCATAGTTTAATATTCTCTCATTGTACATCATTATTTTGCCAGGTATGTAGACAGAACTGAGATAAGTTTTTGCAAGTAGGATCATTGCTGGAAGAACAACATGTCTTGGGCTTGTTTAGGCTACGTAGGATAGCATTAATCCTAAAAAGAACTTCTTTCTCAATCTCTATCCAACCTTATCTCACAATTACAGCTCATTTCCTTAATGGGTTTATACAATGAGTTAACAAGCTTGTGAATGTCCATTTACTCCTAACCTGTTTCATGGGAGGCTTTTCTCCTAGATGACTGGTGACGCAACTGCTTCTCCTGAGAAGTGGCAGGAAAAGTGGGATGCCAGCCTTGTGACATCCTTTCTCCTGTGCCTGAACCTGTTCTTTGGTTCTCAAAACAAAAGTCACTTTTAATTTTGCATAAATGTGAAAGATAAGGAAGTAGCTTCATTAAGAAAAGTGTATTCTGTTAGCAACATTCTGGATTCTCTAGTGGGAATGCCTCTGGGTGATTTTCACTGGGGTTTTTTTTGTGTGTCCATCAGTGTTTCAACGCTTCAAAGCTGCTCACTTCTCATGGCATGGGGCTCCACGTTCTGCTGAACACCACCGAGTTCTACTACCTCTGTCCAGCCATCATCAATCAGATTGATGCGCGGTCTTGTCTCATTCACACGACGAGTGAAAAGAAAGCTGAAATCCCTCCAAAAGCTTACTCTTTACAAATAGGTATCGTTCTCTTGCCTCTCCTTTTCTGCCGAGAGCATGCTGTAAGGTTTGTCTTCACCCTTTCCATTCCATTCCCTTCCCAGGTGTTCTTACCCCCCTTTTTTGCTTTCACTTTAACTCTTTACATTGCCTACCTCTCACTAGCTATATCTCTGTCTTATCACCGTAATAAACTTTTGTCACTAAATAGGAAAAAACCCAAAAACACACTAGGTACCCTTGCCTTTCTTTAATGCAAAAATGAAGCTGATACTGAATAGTACTGATGCATTGATGTGCTTTTTCTTATATTTAGGTCACCCTTTCATTTTTGCAGCATCATTCCAAATGTATCACCTTGTTTGATTTCTCCCCTGAATATGAAGAAAGCAGGCCTGTTAAGGGCCCCTCCGCCATGGGGGTAAAAAAAGTTTAGCTTGTAGTTTATCTGAGGTCCTCCCATATAAAATGACCTGACCTTCTGAAATGAGGACTTGTTACATGGTGTGACTGTATTTCTCTACTGGCGAGGAACCTGGTGCTGGTTTGTCCTTACCGATAAAAGCTGCTGCTGTTGGTCTAGAATCATCTGCTCTGAAACGATGAGGAAGAAAGAGTGCCTTTGTTTGTTGCTGAAGCTGAGCTCCTGGGGTTTTTTTTTTCTTATCTTTCATGGTTTAGCTGCTAGAGAGTCTTGAAATCTCAGTTCTCAAGTGCTAGTGTTCATCCTTGGTAACCATATTTCTTTCTGCTGCCTCACCCGTCATTAGGCTAAAAAATTTTGCAGTAGGCTTATTCTGTTAAAATGAAGGATTCTTAACTATCAGATTGTTGATTTAACGCAACATTTCTTGGTTATTGCTTTGCTAAAACAGTCCATGGTTAAAGTGTTCAGCTGCCAACCAAGGGTCGATGGGTTCAAAGTCACCAGCTGCTTGTCAGGAGGAAGATGAGGCAGTCTGTTTTCCCAAAGATCTCAGGCTTGGAAACTCTGTAGGGGGCTCCTCCGTCCTGTGATTCACCTCCGTCCTGTAGACGCCACAATGAGTCAGAATCGATTCAGCAGCCATGGGTTTGTTGCCAGTAAAGTTGTAATTCTTTAACTTCTCTGCATATCAATATTTGATTTTTACTTTTCCCTTTCTCTGTTTTGTTTGACAGCCTGGGTTGGTGGCTTCATCGCTATTTCCATCATCAGCTTCCTGTCCCTTCTGGGTGTTATCTTAGTGCCTCTCATGAACCGGGTGTTTTTCAAATTTCTCTTGAGTTTCCTGGTGGCACTGGCCGTTGGCACTTTGAGTGGTGACGCTTTTTTACACCTCCTTCCACACGTAAGTACAGTAATCTGGCTGGTTAATGTGTTTTATTACTTAGCATGGAGAAAAGTGTGGGGTTTTTGTTTGAACTAGAATTCTTGGCAGAGACATAAAAAGGCTGGGAAATTATTTTTAAAATAAATTTGGTTAACAGAAAGCAGCATTTTTTCTGTCAGATCTAAGGACATGTTTATGGTGGAGTTGTTTGGTTTGTTATGTTGGTTTATTTGGGGTTTGGTTTTATTCCCCTTAAAGGAATTTTCTCTTTTTTTTAAATATTGGTTTGCTTACAGCATTCCTATACATTGTGTTTCACGCTTTTCTTCAGTCACATTGTGTTTTATAGTATCATTGCTATGTATTGTGTTTTACAAAAGTAAATTTAATAATTAATAGAATACTGGATATGTTCATCATTACCCTGTCTTTTCAGATCCCTGATAGGTCTTTCTCATTTCCTTTTACTTCACCAAATTGTGCAACCCTGTGATTTCACCCTCACCATCTTGACCCGTCTACTCCCACCTCTTCTTTCCTTGGGTCTCCATACCTGTTTTACTAGTTACCCTTCTATTTTAACAATAATGGTTGTAAGCAGTATTTTTCCTTAGAAACTAAATTAGTTTACTCAGCATAATGCTCTCCAGTCTCCCTTCAAGGAAGTTTACTAATTACAAACTAATTTCACTTTTTCAAAGCCTGAAAATACAAGTTCTACACAGCTCTGAGAACTGTAAGAGGCTACGGTAGTGTGAACCATTTGTTTACCTGTTAGTGTTAACTGCAACAGAATAGAGTATATGTCCCTTTACATATACTGCCCAAGAAAGTTGCAGGAGATCAAAGACTACAGACTGCAATATGGATTTTTTTTTACATCCAGAAGACAAAAGACCTCACCTCTGGACTAACAAAAAATATGATTGGTGAAGAAAAGATTGAAACAGTCAATGATTTCCTCTGACTTGGATTCATAGTCAACAGCACTCTAGGTACTAGGAGTTCAGGAGATACATTGCATTGGGAAGTCTATTGTCAAGGACTGAGGAGCAGTGAGGTCAGTGTGAAGCCTAAGGTGCACCTGGTTCAGGCCATGGTCTTTTCCATTACTTGCTATGCATATCATCTGAGACTTTGACAATGAATAACAGAAGAATTGACGCTTTTGAGCTGTGGTATTAAAGAAGAGTACTGAATATCCCTTGGTCTATGAAAAGAACAAACAGATAAGTCTTAGAGTACCCCTTAGAAGCAAAGATGGCAGAGCTTTGTCTCACATAGTTTGGGGTGTATTTGCTAGGAGAGGCTGTTCTTTGGAGAAGGGACTTCATGCTTGGAAAAGTGGAGACAGGAAAGGCGAGAAGATCCTCAATGAGATGGATTAACACCGTGACTACAGCAGTGGGCACAACAGTGTCAGACAGGTTAGAACAGGGTTCAGACTTTTTGTTCATAGGATCACCATGAGTCATTCATCACTTGTCAATACCTAATAATAGCAACAACAACCCAAGAAAGTTAGTGTTTATCTTCAGGGTTGGATTAAATATCTATGTAAAGATTTATATTAACCTCAGTGAATTCTTGAATCCCACAGGCGTGGCAAAACAAATTTACGTTTTCACTAAGTATTTAGGATTCAGTGATCAGGCAGAAAATCAATGAGACTCATTTAGATTTCTTCTAAAGACTTGGAGATAAGTAGGAAAATGAAGTTGCCCCATTCCTACAAACCTCATCATAGCACAATAGCATTTTGCTAACTGACCCCTTGACCAGATTTCAGAAATGCCTGCAGTTTGTGCAAGGGGTCCCCTTTCTTAATTTGTTTCACACTTGATTTCCTAATCCAGAAAACCCAGTATTTTCAGTGCCCCAGCATCCTGTTGCCAAATGCAAAAGTATGTGGACTTTGAGTACTTGCCAGACCTTATCACCACACACAGACTCAGTGTCTTGTAAGTGTGCCAGTGATGTTGGCATAGGCTTCTCTGTCAGAGCTCTGATGCAATTTAGGTGTATTGTCTTTCACTTTTTACCCGCTTAAAATTATTTGGTTGTCAGTGGATCATGGATGATCATTGCACAGTTTCTCTATTATCGCATGCATGTATTCGGGGGAGGCATCCTTGTTGTGGTGGCTTACTGTTGAGTCGGAACTGATCCATAGCTGACCCTCTGGCAGGTTTTCAGAGGCAGCAAATCACACAGTGTTGTTAGTGTGTTCGTGGAGTCGAGAGAAGACCAGCGATAAGAAATGTGGGTTTTCAGGGGGTCACCGCTCTCTCAGGCAAATGACGTTGAGAAATTGTGAAGCCCCAGCTTTTACTAGCAGAAAATGAAAGCTTACAGTAAAGTATGATCTCATAGGCTGGGTAAATGTTTAAACATATGGAACGAAGCATAGGTAATATGGAACAAATCATAGATAGGCATGAACAGTTTTCAAGAAAGCATATTTGTATTCATGAACAAGGTCTTACTGCACTCTTAACAAACTTATCAAGAATTTTAGAAAATAGTCTTTGTTTAACAGATCTCTTTTTATGTTGGCACATGCTCCAGGGAGTATGAGACTACTTTCAGTCCCATCCACTCTTGGTATTGTTTGCCTGCTTTCAGGCATTGTAGCCAAGTCCTTTGGCATGTATTCCATAACCACTATTAACCCTGTGAATTCCAGAATGATCCTGCACACAGGAGGAGATTACCCATCCCTTCCCTGCAGAGAAACTGGTGGATTCAAACTGTGTGCCTTCAGGATAGCAGCGCAGCTTCTTGCCACTAGGCCACCAGAGCTCCCTATAACACCTATATTAATTGCCTAATTCTAAATGTTTAAAAATTTGACCTATGGTTTCTCAACAGTTGGTGTGAAACTAATTGAAAAATGTATTGTTTTGTCTTTAGTCTCATGCAAGTCACCACCATAGTCACAGCCATGAAGAACCAACAGTGGAAATGAAGAGAGGGCCACTTTTCCGTCATCTGTCTTCTCAAAATATCGAAGAAAGTACCTATTTTGATTCCACATGGAAGGGTCTGACAGCTCTAGGAGGATTGTATTTTATGTTTCTTGTTGAGCATGTACTCACATTGATCAAGCAATTTAAAGATAAGAAGAAAAAGGTAAGAAAAAATATACTGAGTACTTGTTATATACATCTGACATTCATTTAGAGTCATACTTGAACTTGATTGCTAGAACAGTATGTCTAGAGTATAGGATTCAAGTCTGAGAGTGAATTCAGTACCTTCGAGGTACTTTCTGCTTCCAGAAGCATTCCTAGAGAATAATTCTGTATCTTGAGAATCATTTTTTGGTTAGTGTTCTCTTCAAAGTCAAGAAAGAATTTGTTGTTGTTAAGTGCCGTCGAGTCGCAGGCAACTCATAGCGACCTTATGAAGGAGAGTCCTCAATGCTTGGGTGTCTCTCATCTCTCCAGGTTCGTAGGGTTTCCGGAGGCAAGCCATTACGGAAGTGGATGCCACTTCTCCTTCCAAGCTTGTTTTAATCGGGGAGCTCCACCCCACTCTCTGTCCGCATTGGGTAACCAGCCATTAACGCATTTGACACATCAGTGTCACAGTGTTCAGCCTCACAGCAACCACAAGTTACCACAGTACGGCATCTTGTACACCAGGGCTATACTACCTAGAGGAATGTCTGAACAAAAACAATGAAAGACAGGCCCGAGGGCCGCGGATTGAAAGTCACCAACCTTTGGCTTGGTAGCATCGCTTTCTGTCCACTGGGCCCGCTGATCTCTCTATGTTGATGTTAATTGTTGTTAAGTGCCATCGAGTCGCAGGCGACTTATAGCGACCCTACTTAAAAAAAGAAGTTAGAAGCAAGACTTGAAAGTATTTATGATTGTGATACAGTTAATTTTCATTTAAAACTAGTCATGTGCTCATATTCTGATCTTTTACTAGAGACCACAATTTTCTTTTGAGTCAGAGTCATTAAGTACTTCTCCTCAACTGGCTATGCTGATTCATCTGTAATTTCCAAATTTAGTTTCTCTAAAATTGAACAAGATGTTACACACTTGTAAAGCTACTTTGAATATAGATGCTAGAAGTTACTTGATAGCCATTTTTTAGCATCTTGCCTTTGAGTCGTTCAGAAGTGTTAAGCTTTGTTTTCATAGAAATAACTGTTTTCATCACGTACATAGTATGAAGACATGTGAGGCTATGGGACTGTGATTCTCGCTGACCCGAAGTGTCACAATTGACTGAAAGACTTTCTGTGGGCTATCTCAAAGTGACCATTTCATAGCAACGGATTCCTAATACATAAGTGACGTTAAGTGATTGGTTAGCAACATGTACCATTTAGTTTATTTCAGAGTCACCCTTGGATGGCGACAGAATAGGCTATTCTGGTACACTCCTCAATCGCTTCCCCAGTTTGTCTGTTTTCTGTGGGTTCACTGTAAAGATTTATCAGTAGTGCTGCACATCATGACCATCAAGCAGAAACTGTTCAATCTTGCATCTGTATGACTATAATGTAAATGTCCCTTTGGGAATTGATTATGGTGCTGCATCTGACAAGAGAAAAGGATTGTCATCTTTAGGAAATATGGTTATGTCAACATCAAGACTAGAGGAACTACTGTGAACAGAGGCAGCTTTGGGAACCTAAAATGAATTAAAGACTCATGTCAAGAGTTTACGATGATAGCACCAAGGCTCCACTTCGTTCTGTTTGTACATACCAGACCCCTCTCTCGTACAAGTGAATTTAGCACTATAGCTGCAATGATTGGCATAAACATGCCGGTGGTTGTGAAGATGTTACAAGACCAGGAAGTATTTAGTTCTGTTTACATGAAGTCACCATGAGTCAGATTTGATGCAACAGCAGTAACAACAATGATGTAAATTCTAGATACCTCATTGTTCAAGATAAAAAGTGACAGTGATCTAAGATACCCTGAAGTAATTATGCTCATAGACATTTAAGTACTTACTCAGAGGCATTATGGTATGAGTTTAAAAATGTGTGATTTGCTTTTAAAATTCTTAAAAGCTAGGAATGCACAGATACATGCTGTTGTTGTTGTTGTGTACCATCAAGTCATAACCAACCCATAGCTGACCCTCCAGTGGGTTTTCAGCAGCAGTTAATCGCATGGGAGGAAATTGCCCATCCTGCAGAGCAGCTGGTGGATTCGAACCATGTGCTTTTAGGATTGCAGTGCAGTTTTCTATGGTAATACTGATTTCTTAAGTCATATTCTTTCCCCCCTCTTTTATTTATTTATTGATGCACATTTTCTCCCCTCCCCCCTTAAGTCATATTCTGAGACACCAAAATGAGAAATCTGTTGGTGTGGCAGTTTTCATCGTCTTGAATACATAAATAAATGCACAGGCACTGTTGTTCAAAGCATAAACTTCATGGAGCATAGCATTGCTTAGACTCAGATAGGGACAGTACTTCAAGCATGGTGTTTGAGACATTTAAAAAAGTCTACTGGTGGGGAGCTCTGGTGGCCTAGTGGCAATAAGCTGCAACTACAATCCCAGAGGTGCACGGTTCGAATCCACCAGATGCTCTGCCGGGGAAGGAGGGGCAATCTCCTCCTGTACCAGTCACATCTGATTTGACGGTACACGCACACAAAAATAATAAAAAAAAAAAGTCTACTGGTAAATTCAAGAGACTTGCTTAAAAAGTGGCAACTTGTTCATGGTGTTTTACTACACAAAAAGTATTGCGTGTTAAAAATAATTAACATTCTACAGAAAATGTTCAGTATGTTCTAGAAGCACAAGATTTTATTGACCAAAAAGAATTACGAGAAAACCCAACTATTAATTTGTAAACCAATCAGTGGCTGAAGAAAATGCCTCTAAGCTAGTTCACAATTGTTACCATAAGGCATTTCTTCTCTGTTTCAATGTGCCTATAAACACTTGGGCATCTGGTTAATCTGCATTCCGATTTATTAGGTCTGGGGTGTGGCTTGAAATTGAGAATTTCCTTACCATCTCCCAGGTGGTATATTACTGAATGCAAACTACACTTAAAATAGAGACCTAGGGAACATCCCAGAAGATTAGTATGTGATAATTCTATGCATTCAAATTATTGACATGTCTTCCTCAGCTTTTTAATCAGTTACCACAACCAACATGGCTATGCAAATAAAAATACAAATTATGCCTTTAAAGAACTGGCTTTTATTCAGATAGAGATCTTTGATCACGGTGTGGTTATCTCTGTGTTTTGCTTAACTGTCCATTTAAATCTATATACAGAAACAAATCAACTAAAGTATGGCTTTCCCTTTAGAATCAGAAAAAACCTGAAAATGATGATGACATGGAGATTAAGAAGCAGCTGTCCAAGTATGAGTCTCAGCTTTCAACAAACGAGGACAAAGTGGACACAGATGATCGTAAGGTTTTTTTATCAAACAATTTGAGAGCTGAGGAGAACTTTAAAATTACTCGGTGATTTGTTGGCAGCTATTTAGAAGAGTTGGACCATGTTCTTTTTCACCATCCCATTTTTGTTGATTGTTGGGAGTGTATAAAATAAAACTATTCACGAACGATTTCTGCATGTAAATGACAGTCACATTGACAGTATTGAGTTGTGCAACCATCTGTTGGAAACCACTGTTTTCCGAGTTACCCCTCCCTGTTAGCATGCATCCATTACCCACTAAGTTTCCCACCTAATCTTTTGAGTTGTTGCTATCATTACTCCAGTCTTTAAAGATAGATCTCAGCGAGCTCTGGTGGCCTAGTGGCAGGAAACTGTACTGCAATCCCAGAGGTGCACGGTTCAAATCCACTGGATGCTCTGCTGAAGAAGGAGGAACAGTTGCCTCCTGTACCAGTCAGATCCAATTTGACGGTACACACATAAAAAGTTACCATTGTGATTTTGAAAAGACTTTGGGATAAATTGGTTTACAATTTAGAGACTATCTTAGGGCTGTAGTTTCAAGGGTTCATCCCGCCTCTATGATTCCAGAAAGACTAGATTCAATGAGAATGGTGTTCTGTTCTCCATTTTATCCCTTTGATTACAATCTTCTGTAGAATCTTTGTTCAAAATGTTCATCAATGGAGACTGGACACCATCCATTTCTTCTAGTCTAAGAGCAAAAGAAGCAGCTGTTCGTGGAGGCAGTTAGTCACACAGGTATTATTAGGTCAACGGGGTTATCCCCATGAAACCACAACCCCAAATGCCCAACCCTGGATCCAAATACCAAATATTGTTTAGTGTCCATAAGCAGCCCTGGCTACTTTCTTTTCTTCCGCCCCCCATTTTTCTCATTGTTGTAAATAACTGTCACACAGTTTTTGCCGATTCAGCATTTTACAGGCGTACAACCTGTTCATGGCAGTTAAATTCATCAGGTGTGCAGCCCCCACTGTTAACAAATGTGATGATCTTTTCCATTACCATAAACTGAAACGTAACACCCCATAAGTAACAACAGCTTCTCTTCTCTATACTTGCCCACTCCTGGTAACCACTAGTAAACGTTGGTCTCTGTTGACTTGCTTTTTCCTAGTGGTTTGTTGTTAATTGTTTGAAATGTGAGGTCATACAGTATTTTTCCTTTCGTGGTTGATTCATTTCACTCAGCATAATGTCAGCTCCATCTGTGTTGTGGCTTGCGTGTATCAGGACTTCATTTTCTCTGTGGGCTGAGTAGTACATTGTTAGAGAAATGCGTTTCATTTTGCTTATTCCTTCTCTGCGGATAGGCATCTAGATTCTTTCTGCCTCACGAGTTTCTGAATCTGCATTCAAGTCTTTTGGGTATGTTCCTAGGACTGGAATGGCTTGGTCAATTGGTGGGGGTTTTTTTAAGGGTTTTTTTTTTTGCAATAACTACACTATTTTACACAATGGCTGTACTATTTTTCATCCCCACCAGCAACAGACAGATGTTCCTATTTGCCCTTATCTTCACCAACCTTTGTTGTTTCATGAGTTTATTCTTTAGTTCTAGCGATTGTTATTAGGTATTGGGAGTCAACCGTGACTCAGTGATTCTACGAACAACAGTTGAGAACCTTGCCCTGTCCTGCTACGCCTCACAATCTCTGCTCTGCTTGAGCCCATTCTAGTGGGAGTGAAATAGTAGCTCCTTGTCATTTTGATTTGCATCTCTCTTTGATGGCTTAAGAGAAGTCTCTGGTGGCCTAGTGGGTAAACAGTTGTGCTTCCAACCCAAAGTCAGGCAGGTTGAATCCACCATCTGCTTCACTGGAGCAAGATGGACAGTCTCCTCCCATGCAATTTATAGTCACTTAAAACCTCCTGGAGGATCAGCCCTGGGTCAGTTCTGACTCAATGAGTGAGTGATGACTGATGATAGTGGACTTCTTTTCCATGTGCTTGGTGGCCATTTGAACGTTCTCATAGGTAAAATGCCTTTTCAAGTTTTTTACCCTTTTTATGATTGTTGTTTATCTTTTTGTTGTCAAGGTTTTCTGTATCTTGGTTACTAAATTCTTGTCAGATAATTCGTTACTGGAGATTTTTCTCCCAGTTAGTAGCTTGTTTCTTGGTTTTTCTCTTTCTTGTTTTCCTGTCTGTCAATATATCCTGTTTTTTGCATATATCCTATGGTTATCTACATGTATCCTGTGTATGACTTCTTTGTTTTGAAGGGTCAGAGTAGAATTCTTCCCCTTGGCCTTTTCCCCCCAGACTCTTCACCTTGACTATTGAGGTCCTACCCTGCCTCCACCTTCGGATTGTTCTTTCATCTCCAGCCACATTGAACATTTTTCAGTTTTGCCTCAGGGCCCGTGTACTAGTCACTGTTCTGTCTTCTTGGAACGCTTCTCCAAATCTTCACATAAACTGTTTTTATAATCATTCTGATCTCAGCTCATCTCTCTTCCTCTGAGATCTTCCCTAATCATTACCCTCCAATTACCACACAGGTGCCTTAAATTATCTTATTTTCACATGCTTCCTTGTTAAGCACTGAAATGATCTTATTCAGGGCCTTAAATGATCTTGTTTTTACATGTTCCTTCTTAAAGTGCTTTTCCCCTCATAACAACATTGAAGCAGAGATTCCAGTATGTCCGCAGTGCCCAGAATAGAGTGATGTCGCTGTCACGTACCATTGACTTGAAACTGACCTACAGCTGACCCTCCAGCAGGTTTTCAGAGGCAGTAAATAGCACAGGAAGAGACTGCCCATCTTTCTCCTGCAGAGACACTGGTGAATTTGAGCTCCATGCCCTCAGATTGGCAACTTACCTCCCTACCGCTAGGTACTTGGAAAAGAGTTGCTGACCATAGAGGAGGAAATAACAAACTGTATTATGGCTGCTGCCTACTTGTAAGGCCACTTGTTCACACTCTTTCCCAGCACATCTTTAATAGCCTTGCCTCTCCTTCCTGCTTCTAATCCTTCTTCAACCTTATTTCATAGACTGCATTGAAATGTGTAATGAAGAAGAAATCGCTGCTCTGGAATTGGGCCATAGTGTCAGAAAGGCTTCCAAAGAAATTAATACCAGGGTAAACAAAACTCAGAAGGGTGGAGGGACAGCGCAGGAGAGGAAGACACCGATGAGATGGTTTGATGCAGTAACTGGGGCAGTAGAGGTAGGTGTGTGGAATCAGTGAGACTGGCTCAGGACAGGCAGGCTTCAGAGCTGCTGTAGATAGGGTCACTATGAGTTGAGGGCACATAACAACAGCAATAAAGGAAGAAGACAAAACACAAAATCTTGTGATTACATGAGTACCTGCTAAAGGTGCTAATGTGTAACCAAATACCTTATAGAATTTGGTTCCTTGGTTTGGAGGTTTAGGGACATCCCAGTTAATTGGCCTAATAACATGTTCCGTTCTTAGTTCATTACATTGGTGCCTGAGGTCTTTGAAGCTTGTGAAAGGTCTTTCAAGGTACAACTGGGCTTCTGTTTACCTGGAAGAACAAACTTCAGGAATAGGAGGAGGAAGTGGAATGTCTAGGTGATCTCCTTCATGAGTCCAGAACCAGACAGGGCCAGACTCCCACTATGGAACAGTTGAGAAGAAATTCTAGAGAAGAATCCTAAACACAAAGCGGAAAATGCGGGACAGAATTTCCAGTTTTTCTGAAATCCAATTTTTCTGGAGCCATCGTAGACAAAAGAAACTGGAGATAATTTTTCAACTCTAAACCAAAAATATTCCCTGAAGTCTTTTCAAAATCAGCGGTAGTTTAGCTAATAAGGAATGTCTGTCTTTGTGTGTGTGTGTGTGTGTGTGTGTGTGTGTGTACCGTCAAATCAGATCTGACTGGTACAGGAGGAGATTGTCCCTCCTTTTCCCGGCAGAGCATCTGGTGGATTCGAACCGTGAGCCAACGAATGTCTGTCTTGAACATTAGGTTTTGTTAAGATGTCTGTATGAGATCAAATTGACAAACAACTTTAACTGCTTCAAAGATTAGATAGGACATGTTGATAAGAGTGAGCTAATGCTAAAGGAAGAGGAACAACTCTGAAAAGGACGATAAGACTGGCTGCACAGCTTTCTTGCTGCATTTTACCTTTCTTTGCACTAATGTGTATAATTACTCCTTCTTGATGATAATTATATTTCAGACTCTTCGATTTTTCATTGAATTATGCTACAGAAAAGCTCATGTCAGATGGAATTATGCATACTGACCTTTCATTTTCCCTTTCCAAAACTGTACAGATTTTTCTGAAACAACATGTTTCTTTTATAATATGATCTTGGGGAATGAAAGCAAGTTTTTAAAATGTAAAGAAGAAAAATAACTGAGGAAGAATGTGGGGGAGTTTGTTGACAGTTACTATTTAAAACCCATTCATAATGTTGGTATGTTAAACTATTTCATTTCTAACACTTAATTGAAACTTCTTGCTGTTACTCGTCAACAGTGATGTCTAGTTCTGAAAGTATATGTGGGAGAGTTGCCACACTTTCCTGTATTTGTCGACTTTGTTGATCGGACTGTTTGAAATGTATGTGAACACATTAAAAAGCCTTCTGCCTTTGTCCCAGTGTTCTTTATATTTCAACCTAGGTCCTGAGATCTATCTCCAAGGAGACACCCAAGAACTGTCACACTTTGATTCTCAGCAGCCAGCAGTCTTGGAAGAGGAAGAGGTCATGATAGCGCATGCCCATCCGCAAGAAGTCTACAATGAATATGTCCCCAGAGGGTGCAAGAATAAATGCCACTCGCATTTCCATGACACACTTGGCCAGTCAGATGACCTCATCCACCACCATCATGACTACCATCACATCCTCCACCACCACCACCACCAAAACCACCACCCCCACAGTCACAGCCAGCGCTACTCACGGGAGGAGCTGAAAGACGCTGGCATTGCAACGTTGGCGTGGATGGTGATCATGGGTGATGGCCTGCACAATTTCAGCGATGGCCTGGCAATTGGTATTCATCTACTCACCTGTTCCTTGCTGTGATGACTTTGAAAATGTCACATTAAACAGCCTGTCTCAAATTCTAACACAGAATCAATTGCTTAATAAGTCTAGAATTGATTTTTCAAGATGGTCTGAATGTGGTTTTTGCTTTGGCGACTTTGCCTAGAAAGTAGTGAATTGGTTAGGTACGATTGTTAGGAACTCTGCCTAAACTTTTACCTAAATTACCACTATTAAAACTTGTTTCTAATATGCAGATCTTACAATCTGGCTTTAGTTTGGAATATATGTGATATTTTATCACCAGAACATTTAAATTCCATTATCTGTTGTATAAACTGTTGCAGATTTGTTAAGGTAAAAGGAACTTTCCCATTATCCTTTCTTTTTTGTTAAAGGAATTTTCATATATTTATCTGTTCAGAGAAGAATTACAGAATTCTTACTCTTACATTATTATGCCATAATGGGAACATTATAGAATGTGTACAAATTCCAGTAACTTGCTGTTGGAAGGATCTAAGAAATCTTTACCGATAGAACAGCTGAAGCCTGAAAGGCAGAAGCTGCTTGCCTGAACTTGCAGGGCTGTTTTGTAGTTATATTAAAACACTAGTCTAGTGCTCTTTCTCCTCTACTGCAAAAGCAGCCAGGGGAATGTGCGTGTTTACAGCCATGATTTGTGATTAACTGAAAGAGAAGACGCTATTCATCTCCTTACCAAACAGTGAAAGAATCACTAAAAACAAGCCTGATTACAATTACGTGGTAATTCTGAGGCCAGAAAAACATAGTTCTACTCTGCTGAATTTTTTAAAACATTTGAAGTCATTTTATCATCTTAAGTAGGTTTTTAATTGGTGATGATTCCTTCTGTTGTTTGTGTAAGATCGTTTGTTCATTCTGCAGCGTAGTTGAGCCTTCCCTTTCCTGCCACACACTTGTACTCCTTTGGAAAAGTTAAACCTAATTAAATATAATTTAAAATTACTTAGAGGAAGATGCAAGACTGAGTTGGGGAAGTTCTTTTTATTCACAACAAAATGTATCTCATCTTTTTTTCACTTTCTTTTTGTGTGCTGGTATAATTAAAACACGTCCACAGAGAAATACTGTAGCCAACTTTTCTCGGCTTGATTTTCACACAGGTGCTGCTTTCACTGAGGGATTATCAAGTGGCTTGAGTACTTCCGTGGCTGTGTTCTGTCATGAATTGCCTCATGAATTAGGTAAGAGGACCACATAGATTGTATCTGCCAGGTGGGTGGAGGTCAGCTCCTCACCAGCTTCAGCTAATGATAGTTTTAGCAAGCTTCCTCATAACTTCCGTGTCTTCTAATAAGTCTGCTGCCATAGTTCATTTCTTCCTGCCTGAGCACAAGTTTGTTTGCAGACAAAGTTCGGACTCTGTAAGCACTAGGACACAATTTTCCACATGGGATTGCCAGAAAGGCTCCGAGTCCTCGCCCCCTGGTCTTTCCCCTCCCAGATCTCTTCCTAAGCCACAATCTTTTTTTTTCATCATGTGAAAAGAATCATTTCCCATTAATAGAGAACAGTAGCGGAGAGATCTCATTGAAACTGAAGAAGGAAGTTGATGAGTAGTGTTTTTAAGATTTCTTCTCTGTCATTAGAATTTAAAATACAGAGACCTGTTTCCTACCAATCATTGTCCCTTAAACTTTCCAAGAATCTTTCTGGATCACAGTTAAGGTCTATTTTTTTCTTCTTGTCATAGCCCCAATACCATTTGAATTTTTGTTCTTGGTATGTGTTCTGTCATTCAGAAGGCCTCCTGGCTTCCTAATCAATGCTTGTTGTAATCCTTCAATGTCTGATTCATGCTGCATGTTGTAGCTCCTTCAGCCTGTGAACACAGCTGTTATTACTAACCTTCATTGCGCCTTCATTTATCTCTCTTTCTAACTATAACAGTAGACTCTTAACTTTTAATTGTACGTTGCCTTTAACATTTGCTTATAATTTCATATATGTGTTCTACTCTCCTTCTATTCTTTGTAGCCAACGGTAAGCTCCTTAAAGTTAGTGTAGAACGTAGTAGTAGGTTATTGATATTTATTCATTTACAAAGTTAAAAACCATCTGAAAAAGAACCTTACATAAATAATACATTATTTTATAGATATGTTAATGATTGCTCTGGTTTACACTATTTTAAGGAGCCTATTTGATGTAGAGTGTTACATGTTGACCTCCCACCTAAAAGGTCAGTGGTGTGAGTCATCATCAATTTCATGGGACAAAAGTGAGGCAGATGAGAGAAAGAGAAGTCTTTCCTCTTAAAGAATTACAGCCTCAGAAACCCAAGGGGAGGTCACTGTGCATTGTTATTGTTCTCAACGCAGTGATAGTGTGTTGAGTGGGTTTTTTTACTTTTTTCCCCCCTCTTACTTTTTACACTATCTTAACCCTTATTGTTGTTAGGTGACCTTGAGTCCAGTACAACTCTTAAGAGCCCTACAAACATCCAGTCTGAATACTGTCCTGCCCCGTGCCGTCCTCACAGTCTCTGACACACTCAAGACCATTGCCGCAGTCCCTGTGTCTGCCCTCCTGGTTGCGGGCCTTTCTCTCTTTCACCATACCTCCATATTTCAAAGCATAATGTCCTTCTCCAGAGAATAACCTCTCCTAGTAACATGCCAGATAACTTTGGATAATTCTTAATTCTGTTCCTTTATTTCCCTTCCCTCCCCTGCCAAAAAAAAAAATAAATAAATAAAAATTGGAGCGTTTTCTTAAATCGGGGAAATCTTAGAGTAAAAAGCATTAAAATCTTTAAAAATAATTTTCATTTATCCCCTCTTGTTTTCTATTAAAGGAGACTTTGCTGTATTACTGAAGGCTGGCATGACTGTGAAGCAGGCTGTTCTTTACAACGCTTTGTCTGCCATGCTGGCCTATCTTGGCATGGCAACAGGAATCTTCATTGGTCATTATGCTGAAAATGTCTCTATGTGGATTTTTGCCCTTACGGCTGGCTTGTTCATGTATGTTGCTCTCGTTGATATGGTAAGTGGTTTTTGTTTTGTTTTCACTTATTATCTCAGTGAAAGCTTAGGAAGCAGGTTGATTTTTCATTTAGCCATTCACATACAGTGTTTTCTAACATTAGTTACAATACCCACAATGTTACTGAACTATACCATTTCCTTCTTGTGATTCTTATTTGACATTGGAAGTTTTTGCAATAAAATAGAATATTTGATTACAAACATGTTTTAATAGTTTAGATTATATATACAGTAGTAATGAGACATATACTAATTCTCATCTTTCTATTATAGGAATGAGAATTTCTATAATATGGTAGAATTAAAGTAATATAATATAATGAGAATTACAGTAGTGATGAGCTCTGGTGGCCTAGTGGTAAGGAGTTACACTTCAAAAGGTATGCAGTTCAAATCTACCAGCTACTCCACAAGAAAAGGATGGACAGTTTTCTCCTGTGCAGTTAAACCTGCTGGAGGGTCAGCTATGGGTTGGCTCTAACTAAACAGTACACCACAACAACAACAATGAGAAATACTCTTTTACTTTGTCTTTTCCTGTACTCTATAGAGTACAGAATACAGATCTTCTAAGAGTTTATCTTTTCTGGATTGTTGATCACAAGCACACCTTTGTCCCACGTAATGTGAAATCAGGATTCATAAAAATATTCACCTGCATCTTATGTCTTTCTGAGAATCTCAGTAATCAGACATTGAGTTGTTTCTAGGTTTAGAGGAAACCTAGCACAAACCATATTGTGCTGATACATACTTCACAACACTCAGAGTCCTTATTAATTGACAAAGGAATCATATCTTTTTTGTTGATAAAATCCACATAATAATCACAGCCAGTGTAAGTGCTACAGTTGTATTTCAGATAGTAAAGTTTCTGTGTCTCTGAACTTCTGGTGAACCACATGTAGTCTGTTCAGATACAGGTAGTAAATTTTTACTTAATACACTGTAATTAACCATTCTTAATTAAACTGCAGGGAAATGTGTACCATTGTTAGCTAGAGTCAGTTTGCATGTGGTCACGTATTAAGGAATTAATAAATGGCTTATTTAATTGCAAATTAAACTAATATATTATCCTGCAGGTTCTTTAAAAACTAAATGTTATTTTGAAAACCTGAATGCTTCTCTTTTTTTCCCTCCCCCTTAAGGTACCTGAGATGCTGCATAATGATGCTAGTGACCATGGATGTAGCCGTTGGGGATACTTCTTTTTACAGAATGCTGGGATACTTTTAGGTTTTGGGATTATGTTGCTTATCTCTGTATTTGAGCATAGAATTGTGTTTCGTATAAATTTCTAGTTACATTCTAAATGCTAGAGTAGCTTAAAAAGCTTTGTCATGTGTAATTCAAATAGGTCATAGAGAGATGAGAGTTTGCATGCTGTAATATGCAGCATTTAAGGTTAGTGTATTTTATGTGTTTTGTACTGAATATTGTCATTTGTTAACACTTGTAAGGTCAGTTATGGCAGTAACGTAAAGGTACGTTTTAATATTTAAGTTATTCATTTTGGTAATATAAACTTTATGTGCAATTCACCAGAAAAATAACAGTTAGTTGTGTAAATGAAGAAATTTGGTACGACATACTCTGTATTTTCAGATGTGGAAAAAAGTCTTCACACCCCCACCCCCGCCTCAAAACCAGTTTAACACAGTAATTCTTATGCCAGATTTTAAACCTCTGAGGAACCGCTGGTGTTTAGGAATAAGAATCTTCTAGAAGCCTACAATACCAAGGAAACTTGTGCTGAATTTAAGCTCAAAGAGAAAGTTTTTTAAAAATTAAAGCTAAGAAATAAAAAGTGGATAATTGGTAAGAAATCAAAGAGGCATGGGCTTTTTTCATATAAAAGTCATGAAATTGGTTATAAAAGAGGAAATGTTTTTCTTTAAATAGGAAAGGGCAAAATATTAATGAAGTATAGAGTATATTCAAAAACACCTTTGTCAAAATATTTCTGTTCCCATAAATACATAGCACTTAAAAGACTAGTTGTACATTTAATTTTGTTTGTATAATAGAGAAGTCTAAATTTATTTAATGAATTAAAACAATGTATTGATTGACTAAGAAATTGAAATTTAACAATATTTGTGTGGAATTATACCAGATAAATCTATTAAGTAAGTGTATGTATTGCCAGGAGACCTGGGTAAAATGAGTCACATGATTAATTGGATGTTTTGTTTGCCAAATGTTGGAAATTTTGAGATATTCAAGGACATAAAATCATAGTATAATTTGACCCTCTGGATTCAGAAAGTACTTGGTGTCTTCCAGAGCTTCAGTGTTGCCATTAAGAACAGTTGTCATTTTATAGACCTGTAGACATGGAGGGCCATGTGCCATTCTCTAGATGTCAGCTTTCCTGAAAAATCAATTCCCCTTGTCAGCTTGCTGCCATGTTTGTGATGATCTGAAGTGCAATCTTGATTACAATATACCTAGCCATTCAAACACATTATTCTTCTGAGTGGCCTTATTCAATTTTTAGATTATCACCAAGGATGTTTCAAACACTGTGGCTGCACAGTTTGTTCTAAGCTGTTCATCCTTTGACAACCTCAGCTTTTGGAGGAGAAACAGTAACGCTGCATTCTAAAGAGAATCAGAAATGGTTGTTACTACCTTGCCTCCACTCTCAGCCTGCAGAGTGACGGTTGAAGCATCATTCCTGTTTGCTGAAGCAAGTGGAATGCTTTAAGGGAACAGGAGAGTGACTTGGATTGCAGAAAGGTTGAGAGGAAGCATTTGTTTATCTGAAAGGCTCAATCATTACTTTAGAACTCAGCCTGAGTGCCATCGCTAGATCATTTGCAAAGTAAATTTCATGGCTCCTCTAGAAAAGAACATGGACTTACACCCTGTCCTTTCCTGGAAATTCTGCAGGTAGGAGGTTTCTGTACCACTTCGAAAAGCAGTGACTAGGAAATACAGTTTCTAGTCCAATCCAAACCTATTAGTCCCCTGCCTCTGGGATGGGGTGAGGTATGCAAGAAAATTAGATAAAAAATGCAAGAGCTGTAAGATTTGGACCAATAGCTGATAGGAAGGGGGGGAAAGATTTATTTTAAAATGAAAGATATAAATAACCTGAATAAAAAAGGAGTCAGGCACAGTAGAATCAGCAATCATAAAAGCTGTATAGTTGAGGATTTAATATGGATTTATTTTCTTTAAAAGTGTCTTAAAAAAAATCACTACATTATAAAATTCAGACCTTGCCTTTACCGAGCCCCAGTTTATAATGAATTTTACCAAACCTTGAAGGGACACATAGGACTCTAATTAGTCCAGATTTCTGGGATTAGAAAAAGAGAGAAAGCTATCATATACTTTAAAGTTAGTATAATCTTGATACTATAATATTGGGAGAGATGATTTTTCTTAGTCCTTAAAAGTTGCCATGCATTTTGCTTAGATAGATCACTCTTTACGCCATTTATTGGCAACTTTGAAGGGTAAGGAACTATCTCCCTTTGACACATAAGGCAGGTGGATTCCCCAAGATCAACTGCTGTACTGACTCAATACATATGCAACATCTACCTGATGTTTCATGTAGTTTCTATCATATTTGGGAGTCAAAGGAACTGATACAAATGTTGTTTGTGATGCTTCTGATGCTCTTAGCAACAATTTGTCCCTTGACTCAGGAGTCTTGTTTATTCTGTCCGCAGCCATGAAATGGTCATAGGCTAATAAGTCTAATTTAAAATTAGTATAATGTCCAAGACCCTGTCAAACCACACAGAGATGGTACTTAAAGAATATAGATATCAGAGCTTTAAGTAAAATAGCAAGTCAAACAATAATATGTATTATTAGAGTTATCCCAGGAAAGCAAGGCTGGTTCAACATGAGAAAGTTTGTTAGCGTATGTGCCATGTTACAAGATTGAAAAAGAATTATAAAACGTAATAGAAATTTAAGAAAATAGGATTTAAAATGCTTAGCATATTAAAGTAGAAGAAAGTTTCTAGAATGCAACAAGTTCATTAAGAAATCTGTCTTGAATCATCCCAATTCGATGACGTCTTTAGGAAGAGCGGCATTTAAGGAAGTGGAGTTTGGCAAGGGAGGAGACAGTAACTACAACTGCAGAAACAGCCAAGATTTCACCCTCACAACTTAGCTAGACACATCTAAGGTACCAAGAAAAATAGCAAATTGCCATCATTTCTTCACCACAAGTACTGTATCCTTGATACATTCATGGTTTCTTATTTTTAAATTTACATAAAATGCCCTGGGTTTGGTGTACAGTCCTAAGAGTTTCAACAAATGCGTATCCAGGACAACCACGGATAATGTTTCCCAGGTGTGTAGTATTGCTCCTCCGGGATGTCTAGAGGTGGAACTATAGTGATGAGTAGTATGTAGTTCTTCAAGTCTTGTGACCCTCACTTAGTATCATGCACTTCACATTCAGCTGTGCTCTTGTGAATATATGTTCTTTTTTACTTTTCCTGTCATCAATTGAAAGTCGTCATGGTCTTACCAGTTTTGATGTTCATAAATAAAGTTACATAAACATACCTGTACAGACTTATGTATGAGTGACTTGTCTTTTTCCCTTTTTCTTGGTAATGAGGAGGGTGGCTAACCCATGTGGTCTCTATAGTTAACTTGCTAAGAAAGAAGCCAGATCTTTATTTTAAAATGTTACATGTGCATTCACAGGTGTCCTGCTACCTTTGAAAAAGTATTCAAAATCTTCCTTTTGTTGCTATAGGGTTTGTTTTGGGTTTGGGGTTTGTTTGGTTGGTTTTTAGATTACTAAATTTTGAGAAACCTCTATTCTGGATATAAATTGTAAATGATTTGTAAATATTTTCGCCCAGGCCTGTCTGCCCTGTCTTAACATTTGAAGAAAAGAAATTCTTAATTCAATCCACTTTTCAATTTCTTTTATGTATTTTCCTTTTGGTTTCACATATAAAAATCTTTTATCTACTCCAGGTTAACACAAATTTCTTGTAACTTTTCCTAGAAGTTTTATCATTTTCTATTTCACATTTACATCTGTGATCCATTTGAGTTAATATTTATGTGAGAGTAAGGCAAGGAGGTCCCACCACTCATTCACCAGCCTTTCTCACTGTGGTGGCTCGTGTGTTGCTGTGATACACGTGTGATAGTGTTACACCACTAGTATTTCAAATCCTGTCAGTATACCACTCCTGCTGGACAGGTGTCAGCAGATTCTTTCAAACTAATAACGACTAGGAAGCATGCTGCCTGGTGTGATGCTGGAATATGGGGTCTGCAAGTTGGGAAGCAGTCAGTATAAGTGGGAAAGAGCATTCTTCTCAAAGCAGTTTACCTTGTGATTTAGGTATAGTAAAGCTTTCAGCCAAAAAGGGTCCTTCATTTGCTGCTATGACATCGCTCAAAATGAGACACACCTGCAAAAATCCAAAGACTGGAATTAACAAGCAGTATCTCAAGCAGGCCCAGTCTTGCTGAGCATTGTTAAAAATGGTTGGGGAGGGACGGGTGGGCAGGGAGAAAAGTGCAACAATGAGTGATTGGAAACCTTCATTAAAAATAATTTTTAAAAAGGTAAAGAAAAATAATTGAGTAGTACACTGACAGGGAGCTGTCAGAAATTGCTTCTGGATTCAGAAGAGAATGTAGAATAAAGCATATCATTGCTGATGTCAAGGTTTTTGACTGAAAACAGAAAATACCAAAAAGATGTTTAGCTGTGTTTTGTTGGCTGTGCAAAGACATCAGATTATGTGGATCATAAATTATGGATAATATTTTAGACAGGAATTCCAAAGCACTTAGTTGTACTCATCCATAGACCAAGAACCAATTTTTCCTACAAACCAAGGGGAGACTGCATGGTTTAAAAAGCAAATGTGTCAGCAGGGTTGGAAGAAGACATCAACAAGCTGAAACATAGATGATAAAGCCTTGCTTGCTGAAAAGACACTAATGAGACATGTAATTAAGCCTTAAGCTTTAAGACTAGCCTTCAGTGTGGATTACACCCCAACCTAAAACTAAAATCCTCACAAATTGGCCAATATGCAATATCAAGATAGATGGGGGGAAAGAATTAAATTAGTAAGAATTTCATTTTAATTAGACTTCCCGATCAATGCCTGTGGAAACATTTGTCAAGAGATCAGAAGATTGCATTGGACAGATCTCTTGCAAAGGACATTTTTTTAATTTATTATTAATTTAAATGAAAATTTACAGAGACGTTTTGGATTTCCATTCATTCATTGTTGCACTTTTCTCCCCTCCCAACCCTCCCCTTAGTACACTACCCTCTTGG